ATGCCAAAAGTCTCTATGAGCTAAGACGGAGAAATTCTAAGATATTAAGTTGAGAGAAGGGCTAGGAAAAGAACAGTGGTTATATTAAATATATATGCATATTTGCTAGTATAGCAGAACCTCTGTAAATTGACCGCCCAAGGGACTCTAACAACGTGGTCAGCATGTAGAGGTGGACAGCATAAGGAACTAGGTCTAGTGTAATGATATGGACATGTGGTACCTGTCTGGTCTAGGAAAATGAGGTCAACTTAAGGCAGTGGTCAACGTAGGGAGGTGGTCAGCTATGGAGGTTCTGGTGAATATGCATAAAACATCTCAGGAAGTATGCACAAAAATCCTAAAACATTGATTGCCTCTAGAAGGGGAACCGAATAGTTGGGTAATGAGAGGGGGAGGCCTAATGGTCACAGAATGTCTTACTGTGCATTTTGATTTTTAAACTGTATGATCATATAACCTATTTTAAAAATTAAATTTCCTACCTGAGCCCTGTAGGCATTTGCATTTTTAGTGAGCAATAGGGGTTGCACTGTAGCCTATTTGAGAATTAAACATGTTTTTAATAAGAGTTATCAAAGGCAGCCTGGATGTTGAAAACATTACTCTCAAGTTTTTATCCTTTCCCCTGTAAAGTTGCGTGGTCTTAAGTCTCTGGCCTTAAATCATACCTATTTTCAGCTTCCCTGAAATCAGAATGTCCTGTGCCATATCAATTAAAGTAAATGTACTTTCAATTAAAGGTGTTAAGTATGAGTCTGAAAAGATTAATTCTTTATAAAAGGATGACCTTCACTAGTTAGATCCAATTAGGCATTTTTCCAGCTATATTTCATCTTGATGGGACAAGTCTACTACTCACAATCAATCACTGTGATCTTTTCAAAGGCGAGTATTTTAGGTTCAGAGTCATTAAAGAATGAGTTGACTATGCACCCTCCATAATTCGAACCCCAGTTGATGCAGGTAGAGATTATGGGTGTTGGATATTACTTTTTTATTACTAATATTTAAAGCACCGTAGTCTGGGTACAGTACTTATACCTCTCTTTTCTTGTTCATTTTTTTGGCCAGTCTTATAGTCTTGTTTAATCAAAGAGGGAGAAGCAACAATGACCCAAACTCATGTTCAATCAAATTTTTGTTCATGTTTTCTCCTCTTTGTCATTTTATTATTAAATACATGATAAATATTTGCTTTCCTCAGACTTATTTTTATTAGGACTACTTTGCATCTAATTTAATCTTTGCCCCTAAATGGCATGAGAAACCAAGACTAGTAAAGAAATGAATGCTTGGTGGTCATTTCATGGTAACATGCAGAATCATGGGGAATAGTTGTTTTCTCTTAAAAGTTAAAAGGAATCAAGTATTTCTGTTTCTGTTAGGTATTTGCAATATTGAATTTTTGGTCTTTACTCTGCCACTCATTAAATTTCTAAACTCGGAAAAGCCATTGTAACAGAGGCATCAAGAAATGGAACACAAGTAATACCTCTTTGCCTATCTCAAAGATTGATTGCTGGAATCAAATGAGATTTTGTGTGTGTGTGTGCGTGCCACGTGCCAAAAATATATACACATTTTATACACATTTATACACAAAAATATATACACATTTTGGCGTGTGCATGCACGTGCCAAAAATATATACACATTTTAAGAAAGGAATGAACTATAAAAATTGTGATACTCAGTGTATGTCATTTGTTATCTTATATATCATCCTTGTATCTCTTATAATTGCAGAAGTCAAATGTGAGTTGAGTATTATAATTTTAATGCAGGTTTTTCCTGTCTTAAAATGGGTACACATTTTTCGGCACCCTCTGTATGTATATTTGTATTACTTAAAGTATGGTCTAGTAACCTCAAGGGTCTTTATGACCTTTTCAGGGAGCCCATGAAGTCAAAACTGTATTTACAATATTAAGAAATTATTTGCCCTTTTCACTTTCATTCTTACACACATGCTCAGAGGAATTTGTCAGTGGCCGGATACATGACATTTGATGTTGCAGCAGATTGCAGAAGCAAGTATGAGAATCCAGATATCTTAACCCAGATCACATACAGGTTTACAAACATGTAAAACAATGCGCTCTTTTCATTGATTTATTTTTATTTGGGACAGGAAAGTAATTTTTCATAAGACAATTTTTACATTTACATCTGGGCTAATTGTCATTTTCAAATGAATAAATATTTTTTAAATTACCAGTTTTAATTTTTCTTTTCTTTTCTTTTTTTTTTTTTTTTGAGACAGAGTCTTACTATTTTGCCTTCGATAGAGTGCTGTGGCGTCAGAGCTCGCAGCACCTCAAACTCTTGAGTTTAAATTTAAGCAATTACCTTGCCTGAGCCTCCCAACTAGCTGGGACTACAGGCACCTGCCACAATGCCTGGCTATTTTTTTGGTTGCAGTTGTCATTGTTTGGCAGGCCTGGGCCAGGTTCGAACCCACCAGCCTCGGCGTATGTGGCCGGTGCCCTAACTGCTGAGCTATGGGCACTGAGCCCGGTTTTAATTTCTAATATAATAAATGTTAATAGACGTAGGCAGGTGAACAAAATGTTTAGGAACTATTGGTATATATGAGGGCACTGTAAATGGGTGGTGACATTTATAGTTCAGTAGGAAAGGATTGGCCGTTTAAACAATGCAGCACACAGAAGGTCCTTCAACTACAGGCTCTATTTATCAGTGGCACACTCCACCCCCAGGATATGGTTCTTTAGTCTGGGTCCAAGATCATCTCTGAACACTCATATAATTATCTACAATTTCATGTGTAAGTTGTATTCATGAGTTCCTCCTTATCCATGGGGAATACGCTCCAAAACCCTCCAGATAGTACCAAACCCTGTGTCCTTTTTGTTTTTTTTCCTACATACCAGAGAGAGTAGAGTTTAATTTAAAAATTAGGTACAGTAAAAGATTAAAAATGCCACCTAACTAAATTAGAATGATTATTGCCGTATACTGTAATAAAAGATATATGAATGTGGTCTCTGTCTCCTTATCAAAACATCTCATCCTACTGTATACTGTGAGTAATTAAAATCTTGGAAAGTGAAACTGTGGTTAAAGGACTATTGTGTCTACACTTTCAGGTTAGGGTCCATCGTTTCCAGAGTTTTCAGATAGAAGGTTCTGAAGGAAGCACAGCTACAGGGGTTGCTGAAGGCCCCTGGTCCCTTTCCAGCCCCAGGAGGAGCAGTGGTAAACGTTAAAGTGGGAAAACTTGAAGAGAGATGGACAGTTCAAGGTTTGAGGCTCTTATGTCTGGGCACGGGCTTGGGCATCTCAAATTCTTGGCCATTCTCTCAGTTTTGCTTGTCGAACAGTGTTGAACTTGGGCTGCTTTTCTAGGCATTGAGGAGAAAGGTGGATCCCACATCTCCTGCATCCTTTAGGTCCTCCTGCACTTAGTATGACCAAGACCAGGCTATGGACCATGAAGGGCCCAGAGATCAGCTTCATCATGGTTTGGGCACTGTTCACAGAGACCAGGTGGTGTTATACACAGCTTTAGTGTACCAAAGTGGGGGTGCTTATAGGATCTGACCCAATCCCTGCCACCTCAGGATGATTAGGCCATTTCTGTCTCTGTCTCAGACACTCTCCATGGCAGAACTAACAGTTGAGTTCCTGTAGAAATCACTGGGTCATGTTTCCTACTACCCTCCACCTTCCCTTCCTCCCTCCCCCCTTTTTTTGAAACAGTCTTACTCTATTTCTCTTGGTAGAATGCCATGGCATCATCATAGCTCACAGCAACCTCAAAATCTTGGGCTTAAGCCATCCTCTTGCTTCAGCCTCCTGAGTAGCTGGGACTACAGGTGTGCAACACAATGCTCAGTAGATTTTCCTTTTTTAGTAGGGATGGGGGTCTCATTCTTGCTCAGGCTGGTCTTGAACTCCTAAGCTCAGGTGATCCTCCTGCCTCAGCCTCCTAAAGTGATAGGATTACAGGCATAAGCCACCTTGCCTGGCCCTCTCCTGTAGTTTCTTAAGGTGTTTTTTGTATTAACTATGAATCTAGCATCTGTTCACTGTCACCTTAAATATTTTTTGTGTTCTTATAAGAATTGAAAACTATTACAATTATAGTTCTTTGCCCTACACCACCATTTCTCGAAATTAATTTGAGTGGAAAGCTTGTGTCCTAGACATTTGTTTCATATGTCCCTGGTGTCATTTAAATTTTAATTGCTTACATGTATATATTTTACAGTTTTAAGCAAGCATTTTATATTAAAGTTTAATGTATTCAGGGGCAATTTTGTTGTACTCAGAGGTCCTCTATGTTTGCATAACATTTTTAAACCAGTAAAACAAAATGTATACCTTATTCTAGGCATCTTAGTGCATGATTTAATGTAATATAATGCTCTCTTAATCTCTCTTGTTGACACTGTCTTCCCTGTTTAACTTTTAAAAATAATTCAGTAGAATACTATTTTCTCTGAAAAAATATGGATAATACATTGGATGTCATTTAGACTAAATGCTTTCGAAATTTTTAATTATGAAATTACATTAAGGTTACCTATTTAGTGCAGATTGTACAAAATGAACATTTTAATGTTTGGAATTTTGTGATATAAGCATGTTTATACACGGTAAATTCAATAAATTAAACAAATCTCTTCATTATTGTCATAACTTTTAATATTAATTTTGCTTCACCTTAATACTAATATTGCCTCAATTTAATATTAAAATTGTCTCAACTTCCAGTTGAGCAAATATTTGGAGGTAACTCAAAAGGAACCTTTTGTTTTGGAATTTTGCTTTTATACAAGCATTTTTATATAAGGCAAATCCAATAAATGAAACAAGTTTCTTTATACTTGTTAGAACTATCTCTTTCAGTTGAGGAAATAGTTGCAGGTAACCCTGAACTGTTAGTAGCATCTTGTAAAACTGGAATACATTTTAGCTTGATGAAACTCTGCTTCCCGAGAATTTAATGTTGTGTATGTTATGTATTTCAGAAACTCCAGAAAGGAACTTAATGACATACGATTTGAGTTTACTCCAGGAAGAGGTAAGTTTTAATTGAAATTATTATTTTATGACCCACAAGAGCATTTCAGAAATTGATTACAAGTATGTGGTTATCATTTGCTATTCAAAACTGCCTTGTCTAAAAGCAAAGGAAGGAAGGAAGGAGGGAGGGAGAGATGGAAGGAAGAAAGGACGTTTGATAATGGCCAGGATTCCTAACCAAACCACTGCTGACTGTAACATGTCCATCCCAGTGACACGTGCCAGCATGGTGTATGTGCACACATAGATTAGATAAGTTAGCTCAACTATGAAAATAAGCACTGGTATGCAGGGCTTCAAGGAAGCCCATTATGGGCATAATGGGAAACATACAGCAGTCCTGAGGAGGGTTGAGCAGCAGACAAGGGGATCATGTAGAAGGTTATTCGTTTTCTTCTCTGCCCAAGTTACTTGAAGCCTATCTTAGGGCGGGTTTGCGCCCTCTATTTGCTTGCTACAGGCACTAAGAGTAAGCTTGACAGGAACAATGCCACTGGTGCAGCTGAATGCAATTTGAGCACTTAGTTATTACAACTGCTGAAAAGTTATGCTCATTGTTCTTTAAAAAAAAAAAAGACAATTTTGATTATTTATAGTTTGTAACCAAAATAACCCAGAGAAGTAAAAGTGTGAGATGCCAATGCTAAGATTATATTAACTGTTTGCCCTGACCTCTGCTTTCGGATTTTTATGTGCTTCATGTTTTCCTCGGTTTCTATATTGAGTACCTTTCTGAAGCATATTAGCCTCATCCGTTAGAATTCATTCATATACATAAGCGAATCCTACTCTGTGGTTTATGCATTAGTACCCCACCTAAGTTTTAACTTGATTAAATGAATTGTATTTGCTAAAATTTTCAAAACCCTGAAATGCAAGAACATTTTAGCTTGATAGGTGATCAGTCTATAAACTGCCTCTGTCCTCCTGCTGTTCTCACCTGCATGAAGAAAACAAACTGAAAGGCTCACGGAGCCAACACAAATGGTGGGCACTTCAGGAACCCAGAGAATCCTGTCTGAAGACATTTATGTGCAGTTTTGTTTTTAAATGCTTCCAGCCAAACAAAATATGTGTCTGGGCCACGTATGGCCGTGGACTTGCTGGTCCCTGATCATTAGTGCTCTGTAAATGCAAAGATTTAATGATTCCCAGTATATCTGAATTATACTGAAATACGAAGTATCTTTTACAAAATACATGTCCATAAGGTCCTCATTTGCTAGCTGATCTTTCTTTCCGGGGATATCCATCTTTAATAATTTGGAATTGTTCTCTGAGATTGTAGAGCACCAGTTAGTGTTATCAAAAACCTGTCTATTTTGCCACAATATAAAAATAATTGATCAGGCCATGCTGTGATCAAAATCTGGCGACTATGTCATAAAGGTTTCGAGTATAGTCAGTAGAAAGAATAGATTCTTATTTTAAGGCTGTTTCTTTTCATCTGATTATTTAAAGTTGACTGTGGCAGTGGAAATCAATTTTAAGAAGTAACAAAAAAATGAGTTTCTAAATTAAGGACTTTTGTAGTTAAGATGACCCTACCAGCATTAGTAGCTGGGCCATTTGCACTGGCTTTGGCTGCCTCATTTGCTGTGGTTAGTTTAAGAGCCTCTGCTTCTGTTGCCCAGACAGAACCCATAGCGTTGTCTTCCAGATGACAGCCTGCCTTCACCTGGCAGCTGAGTGCAGGCCTGTTATTAACAGAAGGACCCGGTGTATAACATAGGATCCTGTGAATACTGATGCTGTGTCTGTATTTTAGATACCTTTTGCAGTCAATCTGTGCATACGCATCATATGTTTGTGCTGCATATACATGTGAATAAGTACATAGGGTATAAACACACGAAATAGTCTCTGTCCTCAGGTAACGACAGGCCCATTTTATTTAATGTGTTGCTGTATGATTAATATGTGACCATTTAACCTTTTTAGACATCAGAAATGTTAAAAAGCTTAAAGAAGAACAGATGATTAATGAGACATGAAGCAGGTTATTTTACATTTCGCTGTTACTGGTATCTCACTCGTGTGCCTACAAAATGACCACCTAACGGTACACACAGAGACAGGGAATTTTTACCATTTTGGCTGGTCAGCAATTACCTGTTTGCCATTTTGATACGATTTATCTGGTGTTCAGATAGAACAGAAGTTCTGAAAGTAGTGGTTATGCTGTATACATTAATCCTTTGCTGTCCCTCAAGCAAGCTTTGGGTCATTAGTCCATCTTCAGCTATATCCTGTGATTGTAGCTCCATACACAAGTCTAAGATCTTCCTGATACTCTAGAAATGGTGGTAACACATTCAGATACTTTAACAGATAATCAATCAATAGAAACAGAGGGACTGCCCACCACATGCCCAGTGCCTGCTAGGTGCTAGGTGCTCTTAATTTAATGCGTCCTTTCCTGAACTTTCAGTGGTACTCAGGAAGATGGAGGTTCTGAGGCTGCATGTACTAGCAGCTTTAGCAAACTACACCATGTTCATTACGCTACCCTACGTCCCACAACTGTAGGCTCATTTTATCAGGAGACTTTGTAAGGTGCTTTTTTTGTACTTCTGTTAAAAAAGACGAGGCCCCAGACAAGCTTACTTTACATGGAATTCCATAGCTTAGTAAGATTCCTATGTACTTCTTTGCCATTCACTTTATTTTATTCCATTTCGTGATTTCATTATGCAATGGAGTCTGTAAAGTGCTAGAATACAACAGTTTCTCTGGAAGTGTCAAGAATATAAACTGTGTTCCACATTTGTACTGGAGATTTGGGAAGTTGGGCCCCGTATGACGAGGAGGCAGAGAAAGTGCACAAGAGCACCAGGTGTGTTTCTGGTGATCGCTGCCTGTGGCATCATCGTCACAGTTGCCATTTACTTACTGAGTGTCAGACACTGGGGTGAGCACTTTAAAGCCCGAGAATCACTGAAAGACGTGCACACACACACGCACAAGCTCACTTACACAGTCATCACATCTGAAGCACAGGTGAAGGCTCCTGAGCTGGTTTCTTCTTACCAATCTATAATTTTGGATATTTACGAGACTATCAGAAGATCGTGGGGCCCAAGTCATCTCCATTGTAAAAACATGGGGGTTTATAAACGGGTCTTTCTAGCACATGGCAATTTATCAATTTCTCTTTACAAAGTCTTCAAATAGAAGATAGCAGCGTGATCATGTTCATTTGTAACCTTTCAATTAAGTAATTTCGGCTGTATTCACTTGCCACAGCCGGTGCAACCCCATCTTTATGAGATTGCTTACTCCTGTCACTTATCATTGAGAAACCACATTATTTTAGTCAACCACATTTCTAAGAGAATGTTGCTGTCAAATGATCAATGTCACGTTAAAGGAGTTTCTTAATAGCATACATTTTAATAGCTCGTCTTAATAGTCCAACAAGCTCGTAGGCTGTTTATACCAAATATAAGGTTGTGTCAAATGCTACCCATTCAACCTTTGCCATAAATTCTGACTCAGTAGCTACTAATGCTAGAAAAGGATTGATGATAGCAGGAATTAACCTTGGCAGAAAAGAAAAGCCCTGTCATAAGGTGCAGTCATAACTTCTAGAGGTACATTTGAGGATTAATTCAGATCATAGCCAGAGGGCAAAAGTTTTTTAGTTCACTAAACATGAAAAAAAAATCGTATACCTTCTGTTGAATACATAGCAACATACAAATTGTACATAGCGAAAGGTATTTCAAGTTGCTTCTGATTTTTTTAACTCCTGATAGAATCTGAATTGTTGAATTTAGACTCGTGAATGATTTTAGTAAATGAAAAATGTATGTTTTACGTTGTACTGGATTGTTGATCTTTATTTTATGGTTACTAATATATATTCATTTCACATTTGGACAGATACAGCAGATGGTGTATCTCAGGAGCTCTTCTCTGCTGGCTTGGTTGATGGACATGATGTAGTTATAGGTAAATTGTTTGTTAGTATGCAGTGTCGTTTTGTTGGTATATCAAATGGAAATGTGTTTTGAAGCAAAAGTTTTCATTAAGGAATACCGCACTCCATGCATTTTTGAAAATTCCTCTTGGATTTTGTCTTTGATGTATAAGTACATTTAGAGTCATATTTAATTTTCCTTTTTCAAAAGCTCTTAATGTAATTCTGTCTCATTTCTCTAGATATGATTTATCAAATGAGGAGCCTTACTTATTAGAAATAGGACAGAGAACCCAGAAGTAAGACCCAGGAGCCCATGATGTAGCAAAAAATAAGATGGTATAAATCCTGTGCTCCAAAGTATGGGAATCTCTGCGGCCTTTGCTGAGAGTTTCTCTGTTCTTTCTTTGGGTGCCATCTTAATCAACTTAGATGTTAGTTTTCCCAGCCCTTGGGCATATTCATTATAAAATTTTAAGGTCAGAAAGGACCTTAAAGATCATTCTGGCCAGTTCTTTCATTGCACAGATAAGGAAACATCATCCCTAAAGTGGTTCAGTGGTTTGTCTAGCGCCATGCAGCTGGGTCATGGCAGAGCCACTTCACTTTGAACGCGTGATTTTTTTGCCCTTTTAGAATCAAAAGATAGCTGCACGGAGATGGAGGAGCCCACTGGACATAGTCATGCAGATAGGACCAAGCAGTGGAGGCAGAAGAGCTCTGAGAGGCAGACGTGGTCGTCTAAGGAAGTGTGTAGCCTGGTTCTGCCCATGGTGGGGACGAAGAGCTCCGTGCTCCTCAGCAAGTTCTGAATTTACAAAACTATAACTCAGATTCTACTATGGTTTATTCATCATGATGACCCTAAGTTAACAAGATTAATTAACATTTGCATCATGACATATGAATTATATTGTCAACTATAACAATAACGTACTAATTAGGAGAATGTATGTTATGGGAGCACGTTTTTCAAAAATATTTAAGTTAAAACTGATGTATAAAATGACACAGTTCTCTTCAATGATATGTTTTAATTTTAAAAACCCCCTTTTCAAAATAAGTCCTTCCCCAATAATGCTGGAGTATGTGACTAAAGGAGTTTAAGGTAAATATACAGACTTATCAGGATAATTTATTCCTAGAAGCCGTAATTGTTGGTCATTATAAAGTGAATTATTTTATTTAAATAAGATTAACTGTGTTTTAGTGGGAGATTAGAATTTTGAATAAGGAAATAGTATCTAATATGTTATTTATACACAAATGATGTCATAAAGGCAAAGATACAGTTATAATTAGAAAAAATTTAAGGTTTCTTCCTTATTAATTATACATGAAGCATATACCTTGATTTCACAAAGAAGCTCTAATTACTTTGACAAGTGGTGCATATATGAGGATTTACAGACGTATTTTAAAGGAAAGCCATGTACATCCTGTATATATTTAGTTGTGCATGTGAGATATAAGATCTCATGGCCAGCTGAGTTTTCACCTAAGTTTTTTGATCAAATGTGAGGGGAAGGTTGTGAAAAAAGGTCAATTCTGGCTCAGTGCCTGTGGCTCAAGCAGCTAAGGTGCCAGCCACGTACACCTGAGCTGGCGGGTTCTAATCCAGCCTGGGCCCGCCAAACAACAATGACAGCTGCAACCAAAAAATAGCCGGGTGTTGTGGCGGGCACCTGTTGTCCCAGCTACTCGGGAGGTGGAGGCAGGAGAATTGCTTGAGACCAGGAGTTGGAGGTTGCTGTGAGCTGTGATGCCACAGCACTCTACCCAGGGCGACAGCTTGAAGCTCTGTCTCAAAAAAAAAAAAAAAGCCAATTCAACTTTTTTTTTGTCTTCGACTCTAAATTCCATCTCAGAGTTCTTTATGTTGACCTACCAATTCCTTGATAAAGGTCTCTCTCCATTAGAAGAAGTAAGCACACACCTTTGTGTCCAAATAAATAAGGAGAACAGTTAATGGCTAGATCAGGATACAACACAGGATATAATTTCCTTGAAGAGAGTGATGGTCTGTATACTAAGCATCTTCTAATGTCTTCTGTTGGGCAAGAAGCCAAAGTTCACATCCATTTTTCAATTTGAGTTGATCCTGGTAGGTGGTTGGGAACCTGAAGAGTTTTAGAGATTTGCAGAAAGGCAGTAGGTAACAACTTTTTAAAAATCATGGCCTGGTGGAGGCCTACAGTCAGATTTAGTGTTAACTTTTTTTGGTCCCAGCCTCAGCTGAATCTGACTGAAGGTATTTTTTGCTGTTGAATTTTTGAAAAGGAGGAAATTAAGAAATTAAGGCAGAGTTCATGTACAACTTGTTGAGTGTATTTTAAATACAGTGTATAACCTCAAAGCTTTTAGTTTTTCATATCTTAATTGCTTATTCTTTTAAAAGGTCTTCGGCTTGCCTTTTTCCCTCTGTGGAGCTGATGTGCTCCTATGTGTAGAGTGTTGGAGAAAGAACAGGCATGTGTAACTCATTCATATGAGAGCACTAAGAATGCCTTGCATGGACATCCCACCTAAGAGTTTACGGACAACATTGCATGTTTCATTTGATCCTCCCATTCATTCTGTAAGGGAAAGAAGAAAAGTTGTTTTTAGTCACCATGTTATGGCCTGAAATCAGGTTATAAAGAAGTGTCTGGAATACTTTAACTTGTAGTGGGTCCTTGAACTTGGGGTTTGTTGACTCCAAGTCCAGAGCTTAACCATGACACTCTGTATGCAGTTTATCTTTGCATCTTCAGCCTCAAAGAAGATCTAGGCAGTTTTAAATGATGGTAGTTCTTGTGTCTCTTGGAAGAAAATAGCTTTTTAAAAAATTTGATTTTCCTTAGATCAGCAGATAATTTATGTTTTAATTGTTGATTATTTGACAAACAGGTAAGATGTGTTTGATTCTGTGCCCTCTAACTAATCCCAGGAAATTTTTATTCCCTCCCTTATTATCTGTGTTCCTCTACCGGATGTGTCCTACCATCAAATGAATATGATTTTATTTCTTTTATCTTTAAAAAGCCCTCTCCCTACTTCTTCTTATAGCTACTTTTCCCCATCCCCTTACAGCTAAATAAAAACATAGCCCCTGGCCATTCCTTTTTTACCACTGCCTCTTGAACCCGCCCCCGTCAGACTTTTGACCTCCCCACTCCACTGTTCTTTGCAAAGCCCTACATGGGAAGAACACACACCTGCAGATGGGGTGGCAGGTGCACAGGGGGCGTGGCTGGATGGGAGAGCGTAGGAGGAGGGTGGAGGACTGCCATGTTCCAAAATCCAGGTTAATTCTTGCCCTTGTCTGATGCGTCATTAGCAGTGTGGTTGACGGTGCCCTTCTCCGTGATCAGCTTTTAGGATTCTGCCCTCTTTTGGTCCTCTCACCTTACTGGCGTTTCCTTCTTGGCCTTTTGGTTGGTTCCTCCTCATCTCAAATGCATCTTGGTGTATCCAAGAAGTCTTTTCTTCTTTTTTTCTGTACTTACATACTCCTGGCTTCATGGTATTAACTGCCTTCCATTTTCTAACTCCCCAATTTATACCTATGATGCAGACCTTGCTTCAAATTCCAGGCTCAAGTCCAATTCCTTTTTTAGCTTCTTCCCTAGGAAGGGTAATAGACACCCCAAGTTTAATTCGCACCTCCAAAATCCAATCCCAACTTGCCCCAACAGGAGTCTTGCCTTCTCAGTGGCTGTCATCTCTACCTTTCCAGGACACATGGAAACCTAGAAGTTTCCTTAACCTTCCTTTCTCTCATACCTGCATCCAACTCATCCTAACGTGCCCAGGACCCAGCTGTTAGGACTGTCTCACATCCCAACCTGTTTCAGGCCCCTCTCCTCGCTCAGTGAATCTCGTGTCCATCTCTTCGCTGGTTCTTCAGCTTCTGTCCTTGCTTCCCTTCAGCCTGTTCTCTCAGCAACCAGGGAAAGCAAACCAGATGCAAAAAGCTGCATGTTGGTTGAGACTATATGAAATGCCCAGAGTAGGCAAATCTGTGGAGTCAGACAATATAACGGTGGTTGCCCAGGGCTGGGATGAGGAGTAAGGGGAATGACTGCTAATGGGTCTGGGATTTCTCTTTGGGGTAATGAAAATGTTCTGAAATTAGAAGTGATAATGGCTGTATACCCTTGTGACTTTACTAAAAACCATTGATTGTGCACTTTAAGAGAATAATAATATGTGAATTACTTCTCAATTTGAGAAAGGAAGCTGGATTACATTAGTGCTTCAGTCAAGACTCCCAGGGGCTCTCCACCCATGTCTCCTGTGCCTTCCAAATCCTTGCCCTGTGTCCCCTGAGACATCTCAGACCTCCTCTTTCCTGCTCCCTCCCTTGCGCACTCCTCCCCAGCCACCCTGGCTGTTGGACTTGATCTTTACAGGATCTTCCTTCTCCTGGGCCACATACGCCCACCTTGTATCTCCTGGGACTGAAATATGACCTTACAAAGGCTCTCCCTGCTAAAAAATCTCATGCCACCCCTAACCCTACTTTCTTATTTCAGTCTTCAACATAGTCTCTCCCAACCCAATAGGTTCTATGTTCCCTTTACGTATCTTTTTAAATATACAGGATTTCACCTTGGGCGTAAGTTTCTTGATGGCCGGGATTTGTATCTGTTTGGTTAACTGCCACGTTCACAGTGTGCTCCAAACTGTGTATTTCACATGGTTGGCCCTCCATGAACGTTTGTTAGAGATAAACAAATCCCACTCTGAAATATACCATAACATTTACTTTAGAAACTAAGGATATTTTGCATATAGGATCCTACTCTTTTAGGAATCTTTACTTGCAAGAGTGCAGAAGTCAAGTAACATTTGCAAATAAGAACTAAGCTCCCTGAGGAAAGCTGCGTAGAAAATAGTCCAGTTCATAGAGAGGTTTGAATGATTCCTTACGTATGTGTTTTTCCAGCTTCTGTAATACAAAATAGCTAACGTTTAAATAGATTAAAAATCTGTTTTATCGTGTGAACATTCTCTTTTGAATTGACGTGAATGTTTATGGCAGTGTGAA